GCACAGCGTTTCTCGGCCACGGCAGCGCGAAGAGGTTTTGTTTCATGGGTTAATTCGATGTCTTCGGCTTCACCTGACAGGTTGTATGATTTTATCAGACGCCCTGCAATCACCATCAATGAGATCGCTGCAGCGCAGAATGTGATCACCAACCCGCTAGAAAACATGAAGGCGAACAAGGAATGGTGGCAGCGGCAATGGACTAGTACTCGACGTGCTCCAGCCAGAGTTGTTGATGCCTACCACAGCGTGCAGAGGAATGCAAAGGACACCGACCTAGAGCCCGTCGCGGTGGAATCTCTTGGGAGGGCCCTTATGAATATTTCTCTTAAGAAAGCTAAAGGACGCGAAGAACTCAGCATCGACGACCTACGACGGCTTCCTGATGATGGGCTCCAAGATCTCATCAACTTGTTCCATCAAGTGGAGCAGCGAGTTTCATGGCCTTGGCGGCTTTTGACGGTCTTGATCAGTCTTTTGCCTAAGTCGACCGATGATGATCGCGCCATTGGCATCGCGGCTTTGTTGGTTCGCGTTTGGGGAGCTATCCGCAGTCCGCTGGATCGTGAATGGTGTGAGAAGGCTGCAGGACATTGGGACGGTGTGATTGCAGGCTCCTCCCCATTACGTGCAGTTCTTATTCGTAGATTCTCTCGACTGGCTGTGCCTCGTGGACACGGCGAGCGACCTCGACTTTTCCCCGCGCACCCTTCCCTCACCGTGCAGCAGTGCTTCGCTCCCCGCATCCTCAAGGAGTCGGATAATTTCTCGTGCCCCATTCAGCCTCAACGTGCAATGGTGGCGGGGTTGCGTTCTGCAGAGGATCTTTCAAGATGTACTCTTCATCGCGCGCTGGAAAGAATGTGTAGTCATTTCAGATCAGTCGCAGTCAAGTCATGGGCGGATGATCTGAATACGAGAATAGTTGCACCAGAGAAGTTTGCGGTCAAGCAGCTCGTTGGTGTTTCTGAATTGCTATTTGAGTCGTGCAAGAAGCTGGACCTCATCATTGCGCCCAAGTCCGTCATCCTCGGTTCCAGCACGGCGGCGGGCTTTCTGCTTGAGTCCAAGCCTGGGCCTCAAGGTCCCGCTCAAGGAGGTGGCCGTGGATCTTGGCATCGATCGAGGGCGTATTCGTGGAGGCAATTCTCGGCACAACAAGAGAATTGAAAAGGCGCGGCTCAGGTTCGCCAAGATTGCCAGTATTTCCAGAGCAAGTTTAACCCACAAGAGGATTGCTTTGCGTTTGCAAAGTTTACGGTGCTCCACCTACAATGCTGCTGCAATGGCGGCGAACATTGGGAGGCTTCCTGAAACCTACCGCTACGCAGAGGTCGCTGACCACTCAGCTTCAGTTGGACATGGGGCACAAGGATCCAGCAATCACGACGGCAATGGACGTCATCAATTCGTGGTTCATGTTCCTGGCGATTCCTGACATCAACAGAGAGCTCATCATGCGCACGTGGAACAGGGTGGTCGCCGACCTCAAAGGCAGGAAGCCGTCCACCCGCTACTTCCATGTGAGGGGCATCTGCTCCGCCACGGTCTGCCTCCTGCTGCGCTATGACTGGAAGCCTTTAGGGCCCTGGCATTGGCGCAGCCCTGACAACATCGAGTTTGTTTGCCCCGGCCGAGAAACACACGGTCAGGGGCCTGGACTTTTCTGACTTGAAATAGTTTTTTTCGCATGTGGCAGGCTGCTGGCAACGAATGTTTAGGTGTTGGCCTGGAGAGGGGAGTTCCACACATGGACTCCCTCAGAAGATTTCTTAGGAGGCTCCGCAAGGATGGGGACTACGCGTCTGTCGGGGCCCTCCATCAGAAGTGCTCCTAAGCTTAACAAAGCGTTGATGGAGTCCGAGCATCTGATCTCGAACCCTCACAGACCCTTCTGGCAATGCTCACAGTGCGTTGGACGCACTGGGGGGAAGTTTTGTTTTGATTTTCTTCGGACCCCGTGCCCTGGCAAATTTGCGACCGCCCCCCCCTCGGCCTTGTATGGGAGTGAAATCCACCTCTCCCACAGGATCCAGAGGGGAGTTGGGAGGGCGTTTTTTGTGTGGAGCTTGTGGACACTGCTCTGTGGTTCGAGTTTTAAGAGAGGGGCTAGGCAGCTCCTGCAAAGTCGCCCAAGGGAGCAAATCACTTCCCGAGGACGACATGATATTGCGGCGTTTCTGATGGGCAAACCTCCCCAGCAGAGAGCGCGAGCCACCGAAGGTAGGGTCACCGCAAGGAGATCTCTGACCCCTCGGAGTTCAGGCCCGCCAACTCAGTTGGTCGGAGCCTCTTCTTTCCCTCCCCCGCGCCCTCGCGCTCCCCCAGTCAAAGACCTCCTCCTCCTCCTCCTCCTTTGCCTCCTCCTCCTGCCCCTCCTCCTCCTCCTCCTCCTCCTCCTCCTCCTCCTCCTCCTCCTCCTCCTCCTCCCCCTCCTCCTCCTCCTCCTCGTTGTGCACCTCTCGCCTGGCACGATTCGTGGGGTCCCTGGCCTGCGGGCCGTGGAGCGTGCGCGGCCCGCCCAGGCCACGCAGTCGAGCTCGCACGCGCAAGAGGGAGCACGCAGCCAGCCGACGTCGAGCTGGCTCCGCACCAGGCGCGTGACGGGCTCGTCCGAAATGCTTCTTGATGGGACAGCAAGGGGGGGGGCAACAAAGTGGACCCCCTTCGTTTTGGACCCCGTGTTCGCACCACCCCCTCCACAAACTCAAAGTTGGCGTCCGGCCTGCTGGAGGCCCTGGGGGTTCCACTTTTTCGTCCTGTCGAGCCTGTGCTCCCGAATGCCCAGGGTCAACGCTGAATAGAGGGGTTGAAGGGGGGGCGGAGCCACGGATTACACTGTTTCGTCCATCTACGGGGGGGATGATGTTCATCACGTGCTGGTCTTCCACATCGATTGCGCTAGATTCGAAACAGCCACGGCCCTGCGGTGCCATGGCCTCGCGTGCCGTGCTGGCCTCCAGCCCCCGCGGAGGCCACACGTCCGCAAGCCTGGTCCGGGTCGCGCCAAGATGCCACGCCGACGCAGGGGAGTGGGCCGAGAGGCTCGGAACGCCCAGGTCCAACTCCGGGAGCACAGGAGAGTGATCTCGGGTGCAGACGGGGTCCTGGCCGCCTTCGTCATGGGACGGGCTTGGCAATCCTCGGCAGCACACCGAGCGACACCACGAACAGATCAGCCCAGGTACTTGAGTTCTCGGAGCTGCAGGTCGGGGCGGTGGGGGAGGAAGGTGGTGGCGCAGCCCAGGGAATCGCTGGATGTCGCAGAGAGGGGACGGGCGTCGTACGCTCAGGGGCATCGTCAGTCTGCTGGTTGATCCAATGATCCAATCGATCAGGACGTCCACTGTGCGCCGCCACGTGGCCTGGGCACCGCGAGGCCCAGGGGAGGGAAATACTCCGCCACGAGACGGGGGTCGCAAGGAGCCCGTCGCCACGCACACCAACCCCGCCCGGCCAGCAGCACTGGCAGGGCCACGGACCCATCCGACGAAACCGAGGGGCGAGACTTTTGCGTCCGAGGCCGCTGCTGACGCTGGCCGAGCGGTGGGTGAACGGGTCGCGTCCGTACCCGAAGTGAAAAGAATCGTGCTGCTCAGCTCGAGTTAGGCAGCGTACAGGTGTACTGGGAGGCGCTCGCAGCCTGGTTCCGATCAGAATCTGGATATAGAGCACTTCGGGCGTGCTCGGCAGTCTCATTGGGCATTCGCGCCTGCACCAAGCCGTAAGTATTGAAGCCAAAGATCTTACACTGTATGGGGGAGTCCCCCCTGGGTCTGGTGGGGAGAGCGTCAACGTAGGTCCCCCCCCCGTACAGGTGTCGATGTGCACGCAGCTGCTGAGCACTGCCGAAAAGAAGGCCCATGTGGGCTCGGCTCGGATCAAACAGGGGCTGCGGCATCGAGAAGAATGAAGGGAGGGAAGGAGGTGGAAGAGGAGGTGGACGAGCATGGTGGTGGTGGTGGTAGTGGTGATGATTGTGGTGATGATGATGCTGATGATGCTGCTGCTGCTGATGATGATGATGATGATTGTGGTGGTGACGATGATCTTACTGATGATGATGCTGATGATAATAATGTTCATGATGATGATGTTGATGATGCTGGTGCAGCCCGTTCACGCGCCAGGCAATCTGATGAACAGGGCTCGACTGTGGGGCTTCCTCTTTGAGATGGACCTTGCCCAAGCTTTGTATACGGTATAATTACTAAGACAGCACCCAACAATCGAGCCTCGTTCTTCATATAACCTGGCGCGCGAATGAACATCATCATCATCATCATCATCATCATCATCATCATCATCATCATCTTCATCATCATCATGATCATCATCATCATGATCATCATGCGCATCATCATCATAATCATCATCATCACCATCACCATCATCATCATCATCATCATCATCATCATCATCATCACCATCATCATCATCATCAGCATCATCATCATTCTCTTCATCATCGTCGTCATCGTCATCATCATCGTCATCATCATCACCATCCACCTCCTGAACATGATCAGGAGGACTACAAGTGGACAGGAGGAGGCATGATACAGATCAGCTGGGCCGAATCGCATCTTGTCGTTGTCATCGCGTTCGCCTTCACGTGCGCATCATGCTCGCCCTCCTTGCTCTCCAGTAGACGCATACGATATTGCATTCTTGCGATAAGACATACTCGGGCACCGTTTTCGTCGATCTTTGAGGGTTCTAAAATACCCCAGAGCTCCTGTGGGTCCCTGGGGCCATCGGGGAATAAGAACCTCCCGTGGGGCAAGCGCGTTCAAGCGTGCAAGGACTTTGGGGTAGGGTCGCTCTCGCACTCGCTCGTCCCCGTGATGGGATGGTTGAGGCGTGTCGCTCGGGTGGGCGCATGGTGCCTCGCCCCAGCTTGCGCTCCAGCCTCGGGGGAAGGCGGGGCGCTCGCAAACCGACTCCTTCTCTGATGTGCCGACTGTGCCGTGCCGGCGTGCCCCTCGCAGCTCGGGCGCGGGTCTCCTGTGCGACGGGCTGGCCTTCGCAGAGCCCGCGTCGGTGCTCGCGTTCATGGCCCGGAGCTCGAGCTCGGCCTGACGGGCTGCCGGCCCCCCCCCTCCCGAGAGTTCAGAACGACCTGCATCTCCATGTTTTTCTGCCCAGCCCTCCTGTGTTGGGTTGTCGTGGAGGCGGAGGAGGAGGAGGAGGAGGAGGAGGAGGAGAAGAACGAGGAGGAGGAGGAGGAGGAGGAGGAGAAAGAGGAAGAGAAGGAGGAGGCATTGTGGTATCCCTTCCTTCTCCTACTCCTCGCCCCCCTCCTCCTCCTCCTCTGGCGCTGCCCCCTGGGTAACCCTCCCGAGGGGAGCGCGGCCCACACCTGCACGTTCTTTGTTGGTTTCCCAACCATCCTGTGGTGTTGGGTCCTCGTTTTGAAGAGACGGTCCCCGCGTTCTCCTCCCTTCCTCCCTACCTTCCTTCCTCCTCCCTCTTCCTCCTCCTCCTCCTCCTCCTCCTCCTCCTCCTCCCGCTCCTCGCTCACTTCGTGGCCCATAAACGAGCTCCACCGAAGGCCCCAATGGGACCGCCCGCATGCGTCATCCACCACCCAGCGCAACATTCAGTGGCCCCATAGAGAGCTCCACCGAACGCTCCAGTGGGACTGCCCGCATGCGTCATCCACCACCCAGTACAGCGCTTCGTGGCCCCACAGGGGGCTCCACCGAAGGCCCCAGTGGGACCGCCCGCATGCGCCATCCACTTCGTGGCCCCATAAAGGGAGCTCCACCGAAGGCCCCAGTGGGACCGCCCGCATGCGCCATCCACCCAACACAACACTTCGTGGCTCCATAGGGAGCCGAGTTGTGACTCAAAGGCCAGACGACGGAAACCACTCGGGGCGGACGACGGCGCAAGCTCGGTCAGCATCGAATCGGAACGCCGGATCGAATCGCAGTGTGCATCGGATCGGGCCACATCGGCGCGAGGTCGTGATCGAATCGAATCGGCCGCGCCAGGGTGCACAACAGCGCCACGCAAGCGCCGCGCCGCATCGCATGGCCGGAAGACCATGCACCGGCTCGGGTCGGGCTGGCGCGAACCGACAGCGACTCTGATCCGTGGGGCCGAGATGGCCCTCGCGCGGGGCTGGGGCACTCGGGAGCCACGGGCGCAGCACGGGCCCGGGCGCCGGCACCTCCCAGGCCCTCGTGCGCAGGGCGCGGGCCTCGGGGGGGCCCAAGGGGCACTCGCTGCTCTGGGCACCTGCTCCCGTCATCGCGCTGGGCGCGTGCTCCGCATGCCCGGCGTGCGCAGAGCCCCTCCCTCTTCCCGCTCCCCTGCTCGCAGCAGCCCCTCGCGCTGCCCGAAGACATCTCGCTGGCCCCCCCAGGAGTCCCAATGCCGCCCCTCAGCCGCACCCTTCGGTGGAGTGCCCCGAGGCTCGTACAGTCGGCCCGTATCAGAAGGATGCGCGATGAGGATGCAAGGGCCTTGGACGCCCATTTCGAAGCTTCTCGGGCGGGGCGCGGCCAACGAAAAGTGGCCAAGGATGGACCGAGGAGGCAGGGATGCGAGGGTACCCTTGGGAAGGTTGCCCATCCTCACTGTGCGGGCTGACTATACAGACGTCGGTGCTCAAAAGACTAAAATTCTCACGGGCCGAGACTGCCGAGCAATCGGCAATCCTTGGCGCCTCAGGCACTTGCTGTGACACGTCGGGGTATCAACTTTCCAACGACCCCGGGGCAAGCGCCCCCCCACGGTGGATTTGTTATCTTCTACCGTTCTCCGTCCGCTCATGAGAAAGGGGAACCCGAACTGCCGCCTGGAACCCTCCGCCCCACGGCGGCCCACCGAGACAGCGGGCAGCCCTCCAGAAGCACAATATGCCCCAAAGAGAGGCCCCCACCAGGACGCCCCCGAGAGGCCTCCAGGAGCCCCTCCTTTAGAGGCCCAGAGGCCCCTAAGAGGCATTCAAGAGGCCTCTTGCCCACGACGCAATCACGGTGGCGGGATGTGCCGAACACCACTGGACGAAGAAACTGGGCTTTGCTGGCGCCACCTGCTCCAATCCAAGACTACAAGAACTGCTACATTAATCCACACAGGAAGCAAGCCTTCTCCAAACGATCCATAAGAACCCGGACAGCGTAGATCACCGGGATGATGAGGAACATGAACGCCAGGAACACTCCAGCAACGAGGAGCCATTGGCGGCGGTTCAGATCTAGAGCCGACACTGTCGAAGAAAGCGCCTCCCATTCCGTGTATATATATATACACACCACAGCAGGCATCAACCATGCAACAAACGCTTCGGGTGCATCAACTTGAGCTATACGACTTCCTGCCGACCAGCTAACCATGGTGCAACACACTTCCCCTGGTCAAGTACACAACCGTCGCGCAAAGATCCCCAAGCAGTACCCAACAGTCGAAGCAGAAGCCGAGGCGCCTATCTATTTGTTGACCATCTCCGCCTACAGATAAGAAATTCCCAGTCTGGGCCGGTGAAGCAACAAAGTCCAAGTCCATCAACTCGGAGCCAGACGCTAATGGGCGATGCGAACCCGCAAGATTGTGCTGTCCCGATTCGACGCGTTTTGAGGCTGCTTCGCTACCCTGAACTCTCGCGATGAAGGGGGGTAATGGGTAACACTGGCGACTGGGAGGTGGACGGCGTGCGCCAGCGGTGGGGTGAACGACGCCTGTGCTATTCAACGTCCACGTGCGGTGATCACACACCTTGCGGCGCTAACACAAACACGGCGATCAAAAACACTGAAAGATGCCCCAACACGTGTGAGCGCAACGTGGACACACACAGGGACGACACTACACCTTTCCATCACCAGGGTTACTGCTATGTAACCCCATGTGCCCCCGCTCCAGATTGAAGTGCCTGTAAGCATCGCAGTGCCTGTGAACACTATCATGCCTGTGAACCCACAGCGATGGCGAAGATCACGAAAGCGCTAGAGAAATTTCTGTGCGAATTGGAGCGCCTGTGGACGACACACGTCCTTGTGAATACTAAGGGCCATGTGAATATCACAAGGCCTTGGGACACCACGTTGCTGGTTACCGCCGCAAACATCGCTTCGGCGTTCCCATGGCCAGGGAAACCCCCAGCGACTTTAAGGAGCTATAACGTCGCATGTATTCTGGTCACCACAGACACCGCACGTGCGCAACACAACGTCTGTGAACATCCTGTGGCCGACGACCTCTGAAGCTCCTGCGAACACCACTAGGCCGTATGACTAAGCCTGTTAACAAAGACGGTCTATCAATACCGGAAATTCGGTGACGGCGCATGGATAAGACCGCAGGGCCTGCGAACACCACAGGGCATGTGAGGGCGCTGCGAAACACGCGTTCTCTTAAACTTTAAAACAGCACAGCGATTCGCAATCGTTGTCGCGGAACGCGTGAGAACAACATCGAAAACACAACTTATGTGGAAACCGGTTGCTTGCATCCGTGCAACGGGGATGTAAACACCTCGGGCGTTTCCATTACTGAAGGAAGGCCATATGGAGACAACACATTGGATTAGCTAATGCCCAGCGGCCCGACGGGAACGCTGTGATCCAGAAGACCACGGGTGGGCGCTGCTCCTGTGCCGATTCAACTTGATTGTTCCAGGGTTTGCATCAAAACAACCCAGACGCTTATTAGGTCACCCACTATTGTTCGACATCGTTTTTTCTTTTTGTTGTCCGATACTGCTTTCCCAGGGCAAAGGACCATCCACGACTTCCGAAGTCTGCTGCGAAGGCCCGCGCCTCCGTTCCCATCCGCCTCCTCCTCCCCCGGCTCTTCGCCCTCCTTGCCAGCCCTGCCCGCTCGCCCGCGCCCCCGCCCCCCTTCCCAGGCCCCCCGATGGGCCCCGCCCCCCGTCAACGGGCAACTGGGACTGCCGCGGTCCGAAGGGGCCCCCCGGGAGGGACGAGTGGCACTGGCGGGACTCGCGGAGCGGGCGCGGCACGAAACCTGGTGCGGTGGGCACGCAACGGGGAGGGAAACTGACGGAAACGCGAGAAGGAGAAGGAGAAGGAGGAGGACGAGGAGGAGGAAGAGGAGGAGGAGGAGGAGGAGGGCGGAGCAAAGGAGGAAGGAGAGGGTAAGCACTCGGGAAACACAAGATCTTGACTCAGGGTGTCGGCAACGGGGCGCGACCACAAGGGGCATCCGCGCGCGCGCGCCCTTCGGCCGCAGGGACACGCGAGCCGCCCCCGAACGCCAGAGACGGCGGCGCACGCGCGCGCGGGGCCCGCACGCGCGCCCACAACGGGGCCCACGACTGTGAAGAAAACCCTGGCAGAACCTCGACATGCTCTCGCGCCGCCTTGGGCCCCGAGACTGGCAAAGGATCGGGCGCGGCGTGCTCCCTCGCGGACCTGGCGCGTGAAGAAAGATTGCCCCCCATCGAGCGACACGAATGGCCACGCGCCAAACACAGGCCACGGCGGCGACACTCCGCGGCCACGCCGAGCGGAAGCGCGGGCAGTGCACAGCATGGCCCGTGCAGTCCGCCACGCTTCCTGCTCTCCCCTGCTCTTGACTGAGCCTGCGCTGCTGGGGCGCCCACGACCTTCCCGTGCTTCCGGTTCGTTGCAGGCCCGAGCCGTGCGCTCTCCGAGCTCACTCCAAGCCTTGGGAGACCAGGGGGACTCAGCGCGCGGCTGGCGCAGCATCCACAGCTCACGAGCGCCTGCAGCATGGGCCTCCTCCTCCTTTCCTCCTCCTCCTCCTCCGCCCTCCCCCACACCCGGCTGGGAGGAGGGAGGATTGAGGGAGGGGCGGGGAGGGCCAGGGGGCAGAGGCGAAGGAGGAGCAAGGAGCAGGGGGAACACGAGGAGGCGGAACCCCTCCGGGGCCGGCATTCCAAGTTTAATGGTAAGACGTTTGCGGGGCGACCGTTTCAGCAGACCGAAATTATGTTTTCTTAGCCACGCTGAAGCTCACGCCGATCAACCTCATTATTTCCATATCAACCAATGGGAACGCGGTTGTGTGGGACCGAGGAGATACCCAGGGGAACTCGATTTCCTGCAATGAAGACCATGCAGCGCATATCGGCTGTGCCTAAGACGGGGCCCCAAATTGCCGCTACCCACGGTCACGCCAAACGATGCAAGTCACCATACGTTCTTCCTCTAATCTTCCTCAACATCCTTCATCTGGCCAGGTATGGGGCTGGCAGCGGGGCTCCTCCAAAGTGGCGGGTAAAGCCTCCTTCCCTGATGGTCGATCAGCGTGTAGCTCGCAACATGCGGGAGGGCCCCTTGCGTAGCTCGAGTGTACGGGCTGACATCCGACATCCTGAACACAAGTGCGTTGCGCACGCCTGGCTCCCGCCAGCAATCTCACGACCGTTGCTAGCAGTCGCACCTTCATCGTCCGAAAAGCTCCTCTCTCTTCCTCCCCCTCCCTCCCCCCTCTTCCTCCGCCGTCCTGCCTTCTTCAACTACACAATATGAATACTACTCTACTCTCTGCCCCGAAGACGCCGTCGAGGTGTCCTGGCCTCCTCCGCGTATTGTTCTTTACACACAGGATGCCGCCGAATGAGACTTCATGTATTTTTCCAGTTCGAGCGTTTTCAGTCCTGTCAGAATGGCGCTCCCGCTACATCGTGGGCTCCATTTTCTCTTCTCTCGGTCCTTCCAAATCAGGTGCCCGCTGCAGCGATGACCCTGTATCGTGCTCCTGCTGCAGTGTTGGCTTCGGTTCCGCGCTTCCAGTCATCCCAAACCGTGCTCCCACTGCAACAGTGGTCTCATTTCCGCGGTCTCGGCCCTTCGAAGTCGTGCTCCCGCTGCAGCGCAAATCTCATGTTGCGTTTCCCGCTGTCCAAACCGTCCATTTGCATTTCCCGTCCTGTGTCGCTTATGGTTCTGAATGAGTCGCGTTCCCGACGCGACGCCGTTGGCTGTGGGTGGGCTCTTCGATGCCACGCTAAACCGTGCCATACCATGCATCGCGTACTCTCTCTCTCTCTCTCTATCTCTTTTCCTCTCTCTCTCTCTCTCGGGATCATTGCCCTGCTCGACTTCCGCCAATGCGAATAGAGATGACATCTGCGCAATGGTGCGGGATGGGCGGGAGGGTTAGCGCGATCGTCAGATATGGTGCTTGCGCACCTAGCTTGCCCTCCTCCTCCTCCTCCTCCTCCTCCTCCTGTTCGGAGCAGGGCGAATTGATACAACTTAGCTTCAAAATCAGACCCCTCCCCTGACGCCTCCAAGGTCCACGCGCACCAATTTTCCGAGCTGCGTCCAGCCGTGGCGACGAGGGCCCCTCCCCGAAGGCCAACTACCGCTGTCTCGACTCGCGATCCTCCTCCTCCTCCTCCTCCTCCTGCTCCTCCTCCTCCTCCTCCGTTCTCCTCCTCTCCTCCTCCTCCTCCTTTCTCCTCCTCCCTCCCTCCTCCTCTCCTCCTCTCTCTCGTTTCTCCTCCTCCTCCTCCTCCTTTCTCCTCCTCCTCCTCCTCCTCCTCCTCCTCCTCCTCCTCCTCCTCCTCCCTCCCCCTCCTCCCCCTCCCCCTCCTCCTCCTCCTCCTCCTCTCCTCCTCCTCCTCTCCTCCTCCTCCTCTTTCTCCTCCTCCTCCCCTCCTCCTTTCTCCTTTCTTCTCTCTCTCGTTTCTCCTTCTCCTCCTCCTCCTCCTGGTCCTCTCCTCCTCCCTCCTCCCCTCCCTCTTCCTCCTCCCCTCTCCCCCTCTCGTCCTGGAGGAGCTCCCTCGACCGGCCCAGGGAGCAGCGGCGCCCCCCCCCCCCCCTCCCCGCGCCGCCCCTCCAGCGACAGCCGAGGCGCCCAGCGCGCCGCGGCCCCGCCGCGGGCCCCGTGCCAGATCCTCATCGGCGGCAGGGGAACCTCTCCGGGGGCGCGCAGACGTGGGCTTAGCGATCCGTGGACTTGGCGCGCGGTCGCCGAATCCATGGATCGGGGGAGGTGCCCTCCCCAAAATGCGGCCGGTGCCGCCTCCTTCGGCGGCGGAAATTCGCGATGTCCTAGGGAAACGGGGCCCGTCGCGAATCTACGACCCCTTGATCCATGTTTGCGATCGCCTGAGGAACAGCGGGACCCACCGGCGTCTTCGAACAAAAATCATCCAGGTACAAAGGCTAGAAGATGGCGCAGGGGCGCCCCCCGCGCCCACAGTTTCAATCTTCGTCTAGGGGCGCAGGCCGCGGTTTGCAAATGTGGGAGTTTTTTGTTCGAAACGACTCGCACTCCCCCGCGTCGACTACCTCCGCGGGGCCCAGTTCGCAAAAACACATTGATAGAGGCCTCCTAGATGAGGTCGGAGCAGATGGGGTCGGAGGATCGCGCCGTATCGCCGATACATCGGCGATGCATCGGTGACGTTGACGTGAAGCAAATCGAACTCCGCATCGAGCCGCATCGCCGATGCATCGCCGAGGCGGCGCCATCCTCCTCGATTGCCCTCGCCCGCGCGTCCAGTCCCCGTGCATTGTGTTGGCTTCGTGCGTGCTTTTTTTCTGCCCGCACCGAGGAAATACACGCACGCGTCCGAGCGATGCCACGCTCGCTCTGGACCTCTTGGGTTATGTTGCTCCCATCGTACGTAAAGGCCACATCCCAGAAATAATTTTGACACCCGGAGAAGTGTCAAACAAGTGCCGAAACAGTGTCGGACGAGTGTCTCCCAGGGCCCGACACATGAAAACCCTGGAGTTTCGGTACTTTTGGGGGGCTCGACATTCTTTCTGGTGATCAAGGCTAAAGTAGTTCGGAACATCATAACACGCGTCCGAGCGATGCCAAGCTCGCTCACTTTAGTAAACCTCCCCTTTGTGAAAACGGCCTGGGACCGAACCCGACGGACCTGGACCCACAACACGACGGCCGCGACGCCCTCTCGCGAGCCGAAAACGGCCAATTCGCTCGTCGACGTGTCAGGGTAGGAGGTCTGTCCACCCCCGAGGACCTCTTAAGGGGCCAACGCTGGGCCCTGCCGGGGCCGCCCGCAAAAAAAAAAAAAGCGCTCGGGCTGGAGCGCCGGCCCGGGGTCGGGGCTCCCCGGGGGGGGCCCCGCGCACGGTGGCCAGTCCGCAAGAGACCTCCCGCAAGATACCCAGCCCCGAATTGAGGGATACACCCTGCGAAATGCTTAAGAAATCATTGGTTAAGAAATTCATAGTCTCAGAAGTTGAATAAAAACCCAAAAATTCTATTCAAATCTTAGGATTTACATTGAAACATTAAGAATAAACGAGACTCTGGCCGAAAATTTAAGTTTTCTTAAGCATCGCCTAAGGTGTACAGAAACGCCCCGACCCTGGGTGACAGGTGCGCGGCACAGGCCTCGGGAAAAGCAGCGCACACTCGTGCCGCATTCGTCTGTGAACGCCTCCCCCTCCCCCCAGTGTTCAAAGTTGGCGGTGGGTCTGATGAGTTGCACCACCTCGACCGCGGTCTCCCCCGCGCGTGTCAACTTTGAGTTTGGGGGGCAGGGGGGGTGTTCACTAATTGTTTCCCTCTACCGTATGTCAACCTCCTGGCAGCTCCCAAGGGCCAGAGCCGCCAGGACGCCGCGCGACACGCGCGATGTGCAAGGATCACCCTGTCAGCCCACAGGAGGTTCAGCGCACAGCCCTCGTAAACCAGGGCAGGGGCTTCTTTACGCCGTTTGACTGAGACTCTGGGACGTCCATTGATCTTGGGTGTGGGAACGTCGCGCTTTCCACAGCAAGACCACCGAAACCCAAGAAACCCAGGGCACCCTGGAGGCAAGCAGGGTGTTTCCTGGCACGGGTCTCCACTGTACAAGAACTCGAGCAGCCGATGTCCAGGGAGCAAGCGTGGGAGGAGGGACTGTCGAGGTGGCGGCGGTCCCTCCTCGGCGTGTCCCGTCCTCTCCCGGGGCATCCCGGAGGCTCCTGGTCGCTTCCCTGAGATCCTGGCGCTGCAGTTCTTCACAGCGGGCGTTTTCGCGTGGCTTCGGGCCCCAGGGCCCTCGCAGATGGATCCCGCCCGAGGCATGCCCGAAAACGATGGCGTCCAGGGCTCCAGCTGTGATCTTTCGAAGGGTTGGAGATTTTGCAGCGACGTCGGATATCAGGGTACGGCCGGATCCGCCTCGAGCAACGGATCTGGACGGACCCTGGGGCTCTGGGGTTCGAGTTTGTGAGCGGATCTGGGCTGGGGTGGGAAAGCCGACTTTGTCTCAACTGGCCCTCCTCCGAAGGAGAAGCACAAGCACAGCGGACACGCGCGCTAAGAAGTCCTGCTGCAAGAGATCCTGGGGCGAGCGGATGTGTACCTGTCGATCTCTGAACATTCGTGAGGTGCCCAGGAAAATTGGGGAAGTCCCCGCGGTCGCCAGGGAATCTGAATTTTCTGCAGGGCACCTCTGGCAGGCTGACTTATCAGTCCGTGCGCCTACCGCAGCACCGGCAGCCCTGGCAGTCCCCGGGGGATCAGTGGCGCGCTCGAGGCTCGAGGCCTTCGGGCGCTGGTGGGCCTCCTGGGGCCACGGCTGGGCTCTCGTCGGACCTCTGGCCAACAGAAGCACCCCCTGGGCAGGCCTGGTGGTAGATCTGGGACGCCCGAAGCTCGGCGGGGACGCGGGCGGGGCAGCGGGTCTGGGAGACGGGGAGCGGGCCCAGAGGCCTCCGGCGCGGGGCTCTTTTTTTAATTATGTTTCCGCAGCGCGGCTCCCCCCGGGTCAGGGCCCCCCTCCTGGGCACCGGCTCTCCCTCCAGAGCCGCCTCCCAGGAAGCTGACACCTGAGAAAGAGAGAGAGAGAGAGAGCAAACAGAGGAAACAAAAAAACTAGAAAGAGAGAGAGAAAGAGAGAGAGATAGAGAGAGAGAGAGATAGAGAGATAGTGGACACAAACATCAAGAAAGAGAGAGAGCGAGAGAGAGAGAGGAAACAAAAAACAAGAACGAGAGAGAGAGGGAACACACAACAAGAAAGAGAGACAGATAGAGAAAAAGAGAGAGAGAGAGAGACAGTACACCCACTGGCGGGCAGATCCCGGCCCAGCGCGGGGCGTGGGTGCCTGGCGGGGGCGTTCCCAGGAAGCTGACGCCCGGGGCCCCGGGAGGGTCCCCCAGGAGCTGAGACGACCGCGAACAAAGCAAACGTCCCGTCGTGGTTCTTTTTGCTGCTCGAGCAGGGGATCGACCACATAATTGATGTACTCCAACTCGATTCTCTCGTCGAGTCCCACGTGAAGTTTTCGTGGATCCATGCGCAGTCTACGCATCTCTCATGGATTCGACGAACAGATATATTTTTTTTGGCAAATCGATTCTGTCGTCGATCCCCCACTCGAGTGGTTCTTTTTGGGCGCGGCGCGAGCAGGCCAGAGACGGGCAGGGGAGGCAGAGGAGGAAAGGCGGAGACACCACCACCACCACCACCACCACCACCGCCACCGCCACCGCCACCGCCACCGCCACCGCCACCGCCCGCAACCGCACCCGCACCCGCACCCGCACCACCACCAGCGCGGGGAGCCGAGTCAAGGAGGGCCCCTCCTTGTGGTGTGCCCCCCCCCCCCCCCCCCCCCCCCGCACCCCTCTGGCTCGAAACATCCCCTACATGGTCCCAACAGAAGTTTCCTTGGAAACTCGCATCAAGAAGTATATGTGTGTGCACGCCCATCGGCGAGGTGAGTTGTCGCGCGCGTGCTGAGCGCTCGCGCGCGCGAGATCCCAAGACGCTCCCACGGCCGCAAAATGGTTCCAGGAGGGCCTGAAGCCAAAGGCGATAACGTCCAGCCGACCCTGGGATGTCGCCACCCCAACACGATCCCGCCATGGCTTCTGGACCGTCTCAGGCCGACCCGAAGATGACCAAACCATGGAGCCACGAGTGACGCCGAGATGGCCCGATGGCAACAAGACGGATCCACGCGCGCCCAGGGTGGCCCCAGAATGGACGCGCGACGGCTGCGCGATCCACACATGACCGAGATATGATCTCAAGATGACCTCAAAACGACCCTGACACGCCAAGAATGCGACTACGTCGGGGCCCAAACTTACTTCAAACCGATTCTAGCACGGCGGGATCCGTGAACGACCCGGGATATTATTTTACACCATTTTTACTGGGTGGGATTTTAACCTGGCTGAACACAAATTATAATATTAAAGGGAAGTAAATTAGGCGGGATCCCGCCTGGCCTACGGCAGAACACTACATTGCTAGGCTTCTACGGTGGGGGGGGGAGTGCGGGACGTCATTCACTCCCGCTGTCTTCCGCGAGCCTTCCGACGGCCTTCCACCGTCTTCCGCCTTGTTTTACTTCCGTCGGCTTCCGCGAGCCAGCGATGTGACGAGAATTGAGAAAACTTTCACTGGGCCGATGTAACTCCCAGGTCGGGGAGGGCCGGGGAGGCAGAGGAGGAAGGAAAGAGAAACGACACCACCACCTCCACCACCTCCACCACCAGCGCGGGGAGCCGAGGAGGGCCCTCCTTGTGATGTGCCCCCCCCGCCCCTCTGGCTCGTTTCGTTTGCCCTGCTTCGGGGGAGCCACGGCTAAAGTAGGTTGGAACATCAAAAGCTTGGACGCCCATTTCGAAGCTTTTCGAGCGTGGCGCGGCCAACGAAGGTGGCCTAGGATGGACCGAGGAGGCAAGGATGCAAGGGTACCCTTGGGAAGGTTGCCCATCCTTGCTATGCGGGTTGACTGTCCCGACGTCCATTGAGTCGCCATCGCCTCGACTTCCATTCCCCTTGCATGGTTCGATTTCGTGCGTGCTTTTTTTGTCTCCAGATGGTCCAGGATGCTCCTCGATGGTCCCAGCCGAGAAAAAGTGCACACGTCCGAGCCATGTCAAATTCACTGAAGGGGAGCAGCAGCAACACAGAATACC